TGATTCCTATGGTCACAGCGGGGCGTTTGGGGAATGAAACGGCACCCCAGACTCACGGGACCCCCCCGCTGCCCCTGGTCTCAATGTAAGCAGCCTGGGAAGTGTGCAGAGTAAATGGCTGCTACGGGATTTGGAGTGTGGGAATGACTTGAGGGACTCAGAGGTCAGGAAACTGGAAAGGAGATGAGTTCAGCCAGGCAGAGGGTCCCTGGGGCCAGCAGCCACCCGGCAAAGGGCTCTGCTGCCTCCAGCACCCGCCCAGGGCTCCAGCGGGTGCCATGGGATGAAGGTTGCTGCCCAGCAGGTCCCTCCTGGCAGTCACCATGCCGCAGCTCGGAGCACTCAAGTGACCCCATGGCACAGGAAGCTGTGAGCTGGACGTCAGGAAATCCTGGTCCTCTGTCCAAAAATCTTTCTGGAGCAGAGAAACGGTCTCCCTGGGCAAATAGCCAAGCTCCTGGCTGCTAAATTAAAAAAAAAAAAAAGACACATGGAGAACAGTCCCAAGAAGCAAAGGGGCTGGTGGGATGACACAGAGGTTTGCCTGGGGTTTCTGTCCCCCGTCAAGGTGGTGGCAGCAAGGATGAGTGCTAGGCAAGGGCTGGACTTTAGGAGATTTCCAGCTGAAACCGTTCCTTCTCCGTCCAGTGATGGAGTGTTTGGGGCTGAGCGGGAGGAGCAGACCCTGGGTGGGAGGGTTGCAAGAGCAGCAGCAGCAGTTGTTTCGGCACTTGCTAGCTTTTGGGAGTTGGCTTTTATTCTGCTCTGCAGAGTCTGACAGCTTTCCCTCTCCCTTCTCCCCACGGTGGGTTGGGCTGCAGCGGGGCTGGGCTCAGTCCCTGCATCCCTGACCGTGGCTCGTGGGGCTGGAGCTGCGTGTCCTCACCAGGGCATCCTGCCCTGTGTCCGGGCTCTCCCTGAAATCCTCCAGGGTGGACATCAAAACTCCATGAACAGGGACTGCAGCTTCCCCCAGTGACCAGGGTGGGAGTGTGGCACGTCCCCAAGGCTTGCTTAGAGCCCCTGTGGCTCTAGGGAGCATTTTTCTAACACCCTCGCCCTCTCGGTCCACAGGAGGATAGCGCGGACCTGAAGTGCCAGCTGCATTTTGCCAAGGAGGAGTCAGCCCTGATGTGCAAGAAGCTGACCAAGCTGGCCAAGGAGAATGACGGCATGAAGGAGGAGCTGCTGAAGTACAGGTCCCTGTACGGGGACCTCGACAGCTCCCTCTCCGTGGAGGAGCTGGCTGATTCTCCCCATTCCCGGGAGGCTGAGCTGAAGGTCCACCTCAAGCTGGTGGAGGAGGAAGCCAACATCCTCAGCCGGAGGATAGTGGAGCTGGAGGTGGAAAACCGTGGGCTGCGGGCGGAGATGGATGATATGAAGGGCCAGGGGGACAGAGAGCTGCCGGGGCAGGACACGCGGTTCCTGGCAGGCATCTCGGGCTGCGGGGACACGGGGGACACGGTGGCGGAGCTGCGCCGGCACCTGCAGTTCGTGGAGGAGGAGGCTGAACTGCTGAGGCGCTCACTGCTGGAACTGGAGGACCAGAACAAGCTCCTCCTTAATGAGCTGACCAAGTACAAGTCAGACCACGAGCTGGATGTGACGCAGCTGTTCGGTGGTCAGCGAGCCCTCGCAGGAGGAGCTGGCCACAGCCAAGGTGCAGATCAGTGAGCTGAGTGGCAAGGTGAAGAAGCTGCAGTACGAGAACCGAGTACTGCTTTCCAACCTCCAGCGCTGCGACCTGGCCTCCTGCCAGACCACCCGGCCCATGCTGGAAACCGATGCTGAGGCCGGCGACTCGGCAGCAGCGAAGCCGATGGGCAGGACAGGGTGCCTGGTGGTGGGAAGGTGCCTGATGGTCCTGCCAAGCTGCTCAAACCCAAGGACCTGGAGACCTTGCTGGGCATCCGGGACCAGGCGGCGCTCGTCAGCAAAGCGATCGATGTCTTGATTTCGGATGCCAACGGCTTCACCTCTGGACTGAAGGCTTGCTTGGACAACGAGTGCATGGTGGGTGGGGCGGCTGGGCGAGGCGGGGGGTAGCAGTGGCGAGAGCCCCAGCGATGCCAAGCTGATGAACGTGCTGCTCATGCGGCTGGGCGTGCTGCAGCAGGACCTGGGCTGCTTCGCAAGGAAGGTGGACCACCTCACTGGTGGCCTCAAGGAGCACGCAGACTCCTTCCCCTTCTCTGGCGCCGGCAGCCACGACACCACCAAAGAGGGGCTGCAGAAGGAGCACGCTTCTGACTTCCAGGTATGGGCTTCTTCCCATGTCCCTCGCAGGAGCTGCTGCTTTATTTGCTGCCCCATTTCCTTCTGCTTTAACGGAGCAAACCCCAATCGCCGACGTAACCTCCCTCCTGCCTCTCCAGAGCAAACCCCAGACTAACACCTCACTGCATGCCCGTGGCACTGGGGACAAGGTAGGACTCTGCTCCAACAGAGTGTGCCCAGGGCGGGAGGCACTGGGCATCCTGGTGCATCCCAGCATGAGCTCCTCATGCCAAGGCTGCCCTGCCTGCAGCCGGAGGTTTTTGGGTGCGATCCCACCTTAGCAGGGGCCGACATTTGAGCTGTTCTCCCCCAGCTCAGCCCAATATCCCCGGCTCAGCAGCTCTTTGCTGATTGGGGGTGAGCTGGGTGAAAGGAGAGCAGTCTGCAGCAGCCCAAATTGCGGGGACCCCCGTGGCAAGAAGCCACAGGCCCCCGTGGTACCCAGGCAGGGTAATTTGGAGAGCAAAGGCTCCAGGACAATTCTGCATCCGATGGGGAGCACCTTTGGAGCCAGCTAATGTCCTCCCATCCCCCTCCTTGTCAGGAGCCAGGGATCTCAGTGGTGGTTGGGCTGTGGACACAAGCCCCACTCTGGAGCACACTCACTTGTTCAGAGTCCTATTTTTCTGCATGTGGTCCCACCAGCCCCAGGTCCCAGTCTCCCCCAGTCACTGCATGGCACCGTAACTGGTGTTTGCACATTTTTTCCCTCTTTCTCTCTTTTTTTCCCCTTTCCCCAAACAATCCAGGCCACGTGTCTCCTCATCTTGTGTTTCCTTTTGGTTTCCGCATTGTCTCCTGCCATGGTGATGAAGCTCCTTCTCCTCCTCATCCTTTTTGTTGTCTTGTAGTTCTTTACTGTTTCAGAGACCCATTGTTTTGTTTTCTGGCTTTTTTTTCTTCCCGCTCTTTTGGTTTGTTCTCATTAACTTGCCCACGCATGCAGCAGCCTGATTTTAGGGACGCCGACCCTTACCGCATCCCCCACGCCAAGGACTCGGACCCCACGCATCCCCGGAGCTACAAAACCTGCCGGCCTGAGGAGAACGACTCCTACGCCACCGAGGTACGACACGGGCACGGAGCTGCATCCCCTTGCCCAGCGGCGTTGGGACAGGGCCATGGGGACAGGGTTGTCCCTCTTGGGAGCTGGGGAAAAGGGAAGGCGCAGAGCCCCATTGGGAGGGTCACAGGGAGCCGTGGCCAGTGCAGCCCATCCTCTGGCCGTGCCGTTGCAGATGAAGGAGCTGCAGCTGGTGCTGTCAGAGGCCAACGAGAGCCTGCGGGGACTGCAGGAGCAGCTCTCCCAGGAGCGGCAGCTGAGGAAGGACGAGGTGGACAACTTCTCACAGAAGATCTGCCAGGTGAGCAGGCAGCAGCCCCGGTCCCGGGGAGGTGGGTATCCCTACGCCTGTGGCCATGCCACCTCCAGCCCCAGGCTGATGACCCACTTAGGGACCTGGGTGTCACCTAGGACCACACACAGCGTGTCCCATCTTCAAGGGGCACAGGGGCTGCACTGTCCTCCTTGCCTATGGGTGTGCAGCCGTGCAGGGCTGTGCCCGGCAGTGCCCAGTACGCAGCCACGGCGTTGCCATTCCCCGGGCACAGTAGGTATGGGGCCACTGCCAGATTTGGCCCAGACCCTGGGGTGGAGGCACCGCATCGCTGCCGCCAGCCCCTGTCTTGGAGCCCACGCGTGTCTCCACAGTTGAAGGAGGACCACCAGAAAGCACTGTTGCGGCGGGAGTTTGAGCTGCAGAGCCTGAATCTGCAGAGGAGGCTGGAGCAGAAGTTCTGGAGCCAGGAGAAGAACCTGCTGGTGCAGGAGTCGCAGCAGTTCAGGCAGAGCTTCCTCCTGCTCTTCATGAAGCTCAAGTGGTTCCTCAAGTGCTGGCGCCAGGGCAAGATTGTGCACAGCGAGGGCGAGGACTTTTTGGAGGTATTGTGGGCTGGGGGACTCTCACCGCGGGTGCCATGGAGGGGGGGCCATGCTGTTGGGCATCCCTGGGGCTGTCTTTTGCCTACGTGTCCCACCAAGGGCTGCTGTGGTGTCCCCCATCCCTGGCTGTGGGTCCCCTCATCACCCCGGCCATGCTGTTTTCTGCAGGTGAACAGCATGAAGGAGCTGTACCTGCTGCTGGAGGAGGAGGAGCTCGCCCCGCAGCAGCAGGCGGACAACAAGACGTGTGCCGGGGATGCCTGGACCCCCAACACGGTAAGGGGAGTCCCCACGAGCCCAGGGAGTAGGCAGGGTCAGCCCCCACCACGGCTGTGTGGCATGGGGTGGCTGCTCCTCCTGGGGCGCGTGGCCGGGGGGGATGCTCCCCCTGGTATGTCACCCCCAGGGGTAGTTCCCTCCCCTGTGGTGCCCCTGTCCTTCACCCCGGGGATGGGCAACCTGCAGGGATGGGGGTTCAGAGAGGGCAGCTCCCATGACATCCCACCCCTTTGGATCCCCTCTGGCACGGGACCCTGGCTCCCTCTGCTCACCCCTGATGCCCCAGCAGCCCAACGAGTGCATCAAGACGTTGGCGGACATGAAGGTGACCCTGAAGGAGCTGTGCACGGAGCTGCGGGAGGAGCGGCGCGGTGCCAGCGAGCTGCAGCAGCAGTTCACCAAGGCCAAGGCTGCCTGGGAGATGGAGCGTGCCGAGCTCAAGTGCCACATCACCCAGGTGGGAGGCCTAGGCCCGGGCACCCCACAGCTGGTGGGGATGTGGGGCTGGGGTCTGCCTGCACCGTGTGCCAAGCGCTGACTGAAAGCAGGGCTGGAGGCAGGGTGGCACTGTGGGAATCTCAATTAGCAGCCGCTCCAGCAGGCGAGTTTCTATAGCAACAGGGCTGGCATGAAAATCTGGTTGTGGAGCAGCAGAAGATGCTCTTTATTCCTCCGCTGGGTTTGTGGGGGGTGGGCAGGATGGTACTGGGGCTCAGCATCCTTCCCCAGGACAGGCATCTGGGAGTGGCATCAGATCCCTCCTCTCCTCCCTGGGGTTACAGCACTGGTGGGTGCTCTGCACCCCTGTGGGTGCTTCAGGAGGGCAGGAGGTGGAAGGAGGGCACACAGAAGCAGTCCCAGCAGTCCCCCAGCACGTCCTCTCAGTGATGAAGGTTTTCATCTCCCTCGCACTGTGCTGGCAGCAGCCCGTGGCTGTACATCAGCCTTACTCCCCAGAGCAGGTGCCCAGGCGGGATTTCTCCAGGCAAAGATCAGCAATTCCCCTCTCTCCCTGACAAAGGGGGAGTAGAGCTGCAATGGTGACAGCACCCTGGCTTCAGGTGCCTTTGGGACTGCCAGTGGCAACATCCTCAGGGACAGCTCTCCCAGCCTCACAGGCGATGCTGCCCCTCTCCATGACCTGGGTCCAGCAGCCAGGATTGCAGGCAGAGCCAAGCCAAGCAGGCAGGACATTCAGCTCATGTCCCGCTGGGTGACCGTCTGGCGGGCCGTCTGGCATGACACGGCCGCAGGCCAGGGCTGGCTGCGGCTCATTGTGCCCCCACGCGAGCCCTGCTGTGCTGCACTGCACAGCCTTGGGGACACGCTCGCTGCCCAACCTGGGTAGCACGGGACCTGCACTGGGATTCCAGATGCCCACAGCCTT